CGCGGGTTCAATCTAGCAGTAAACAAAAGTAAAAGTAATAAGTCAAAAGACATGAAATATTGAGCTTTCTTATTCTTAACAGCTGAATCCTGATAAAATAGAGTCCAGGTCGCATATCCCAATTTGCTTCTAATAAGGGCAAAATATAAGATTTTTAGGCTATTAATATTGGAGAACCCGGTGAGTTTCTGATGCAAAGTCCAAGTAACCTAGTTGCAGCCGACGATATATTAAGCAGCTGTTCACTAAACGCCATATTGCAATCTAAGGTGAACTCTAAGATCCTAACCTGATCTTTGATGATATACTCACTATATATGAAATATTAATGATTAATATATATAACTTCTTGAAAAGGACCATAAATACAAACTAAGACAATTATTCCGCGAAGAAATTATATGGCAACTGACTTGATGTATACAGTTTCAGGTAATTAGTAAAATGTTTGAGTTCAATAAATATATGAATTTGAAAAATCGCGATGGAACAGGGTTCGAATTTGGATGTACACCAGATGTGACCATATGGCTGTTCGACCTTTAACCATTATACTCACCAAATTACATTGAATCAAAACAGTTCAAGGACGATGTTTTAGCATCTTTTGTTTCCATATTTAGTGCATTGGTTTTTAAAACAGTCCTTAACATAGTGTATTTACGTCAACTGAATAACAAGCAGTGTATGCATATTAACAACATTCTATCGATTTTTATGACTTATTAAACAAATTCAAGTGGCTCATTGTATTTAATTTATGACAACCATTTGTTTTTGAATATGTCAACAGCAATAAACCGACGTTATCCGCGCAACCTCGATTCAAGGATCATCTCGTATACATTATGTTTATTTTGTCGTTATTCGGAAAATGTTTACATAAAATATTAAACATTAATCATGCATATTGGATTTGCATACTTATACTACCTGGATTTTATATTCGTACATACCTTTTTTGAAGACAGCGCGTTATTAGGAACTAATGAACTTACGAGCTGTGATGATTAAAATTTATTACTGTGTCGTTTTACGAGATTCTCTGGCATATCACTAGAGTCTATTTAGTATTTTATTGACTAAATTACAAGCAGTCTTTGAAGATCTGAATCATGAATTTCCTGACGCAAGATTTTGAATGTGGACAAATAGCTCAGTGTCAAAAATATTCGTGTTTCCGCTTCCGTGTACGAACGCAATGCACTGAAAACTATTGTTTACCGAATTGGGAAATCGGAAAAGTACAGAGGAATCTAGTGCGCGATCCAGTGGCGTAGCTTGCTTGACAGAGGCTCCATATCAAAATTTGTAGGGGGGGGGGGGGGGGGGACAACCAACTGTAGCGAATCCCAAATAGAGGGTAAAATTTGAGGTATTGATTTTTGCAAAACAAATATTAACGCTCGCATTGAATAACATGAAATGTCACGTATTGACCATGTGCATCCGCAGGAAGTTTTCTCGGTCAGAGAAGGTGGATCATCGACAAGAGATGACTTTCTGTAAAAGTATACTTATCATCAACTTTTTGCATTCCGAGGAAGCGGTATTGTGAATGCGAAAATCTTAAAAATTAAGATAAATGTATTCTGTTTTGCGATGTCTACAACACGAAATCCATGTGTGGTGATAGTAGGTAATGCTGCTTAATTTTGAAAAATGTTTAAGCGAAAATTAAAATAAATAGCTCCTTGAACAATTTTAAGGGTAATCATCCATCTTTGTGGAGAGGTTACAATTTTTATAAATTTCGAAAAATCGCTTCCATCGTTTAATATTCAAAAACATCATGGAGCTCATACATTTTGTTTCTTTATCAAAAAGCTTATCTTGACTGAAAATTTGAAAATAGGCCTAGGTGAATGCTTGGGAAGTGCCGAGACAATCTTCGTGCCACTTTTTTTTATTAAACCATCCATAGCAGAACACAAGCGTAGTGATTCGAAGTTTTCAGCCTCTGAAGACATTACCATGCTATTCAAAGTTGCTTCATAGTCCTAAGATATTTTAATTACTTTTGAATTTCGATAATAGGAAGCATGCTACTATCGCCTAGTCGTACAGTCTAAGGTTTAGCTATTGAGAATTTTTAATTTAGGTACGGTCTCACTAATTGCGTAACATTTTAAAAACCACATTACGCATTTTTTTCTTACGGTAGTTACGCTACTGGCACCATTCATCAAGTACAACAATCACCGCCTGTCAAAATATTAATAGTATTCAATCAGTTTTGTATGGAAATACCTATAGTTCAAAGATAAATAAGGAATAATTCTATGATAATATTCACTGAATAGAGCATCACAGGGTGTTTCAGGAAAATGTGGCAATATTTCTATGATAGAATATACGTCTAATAATGAAACAAAAAGCTCCTATTAGCACAGGTCCTAAAATGTTTCATTATTAAGATACGGTGTTGCGTCACTGACGATACCGAATAAAGATAAAACATGAACATAGTACAGATGACGCCATGGTCAGTTGAGATTACTCTCTCAATTCACTACATACAATTTTCAATGTCGAACTCCATTAACTTCAGCGTATTTTCAAAGTAGGGTTGAAGTTTCATATACAGATCTTACCTCTAATATTTGAACTAATTTTTCTCCAGAACCAGTAGTTTTACAACAATTTCTCAATAGAGGCGATTCATGTAAAATTGAACTCTTTTATCAGAAATGCAATAGATATTTCAAAAAAATGAGTGGAGTACAAAATAATTTTCTTTCTTCTTGTGATGTCATAATTACCCAATTTCTACGCCACCGATTTAGTTTCAGACAAGAATTTTGCAATGTATTGGCTAAAATGTTAGCACTAGTCGTCAATATCTTAATCCATTGCGAAGATATATTCGTTCTTTCGATTCCAAAATTATAATTTCAGCATCCTGTATCTCGTTGAGGGGGATTTTAGGACCCATGATTATCGGAACTTTCCTTGCTGTGTTTTGATCAACTTTATGCCCTAGAAAATTGCTGTTTTTTTGATACATCACATGGTCAGAATAACCTCAAACAGGAGGTAGAATACGTGAAAAAAAAAAACAGTTTCAAAGACATAAAAACTTTTATTTAAGAAAATGAAGGTAAATAATACAGTCTGTAAATATATACTTCTAGAAGCTGAGAAGATCATGAAAAGATATTCTACCACGCTTTCATTATCAGTAAGGTAAGTAGTAATAAGGTGCGTGGGGCAGCTGAACCATGCCATTTTTAGCCAGAAACTGTCTAAAAGAGATCGCTGTGTGGTGCGCAGGTGCATTCTCGTTGTGGAAGAAGCAGTCTCCTGACTGCCACAAATCGGGTATGTTTTGCCGAACACTGTTTCGTAATTGTCTTAAAATCTCCAAATAGCACAAGCTTTCAAATTTTTTCAAAATTTTCGTTGATTCGGGCAGTTGATGGACCTCCAGAGCGAGGTTTATCCTCAATCGACATGTCGCTATTTTTAAATCGAGCAAACCACTCGTACAACTGAGTTTTTCCTATAGCATCATCCATGTAATGTATTTTCAACATTAAGCAGCATTTTTACCAATTAGGAAGCAAAATTTCACAGCTGCGCGTTGCTCACTGAAGCTTGGCCATCGTAAAAAACGAAATAGCTCTAGCAAAGATCATGACTACAGAGGAACGAAACAAGCCAGATCGACAACTCAGATGGCACTGACCTGGTAATGACTTGCGCTGTACGCTTCTAGGGGCAGAAATGTGTACTACACAAGCTCCGCCCACTGCAATGCTATTCCATTTATTTTTGGCTACCTCCTCGTATATCTTCCCATCCAATGCAGGCCTACTGGAGTAACCTAAAGTAGCTAGAAAGAGCTCGGGAGGGGTGTTTCATGATTTTTATAACTTTCAGTAACGTGTATTGGCATACCATGTTATATTCATTCATTTTTTGCCATTAAAAAACGTGGAAATGTACTGTCTACCTTTTTTTCTATATAAATTAAATATTTTGTATGGACTTAAATTCTCATAAAATATTCTTTGTAATAGAAAATGAAGAAAATAAACATTTTCGAAAGCTCTAACTGAACAAAGAACAAACGTTTCTTGTGTCCTGAAATTTCTGTGTATTATGGCTGGACCCTCTATAATTTACTATTCATTTTTTTCTGTATTACTTCAGTCAATATTAAATATGCTAGAATTATTTTATTATTTATCTTCGAATTGTCAGAATTTGTATGCAGAATTGGTTAAAGCTTTGGTCGGTGTACTTTAGGGACGGTCCATTAGATCTCTCTATACTTTTTGGCTTTCTGATCAGTATTTTCGACTTCTCATCATAAGCAATAGTTTTATTGGGTTGCACGTATTTCCCGGGGTGTCAAAAATGCCCATTGTTGCATTGTCCTTGATTTTAATAACTGAATACATTGTATATTGGAAACTCTTAATATAGTATTATCCTAAACTGCTGATTTTTGATTTTAACAAAGAAAAAGCTTACTTCTTCAAGTAATCGATCGCCCTGTAAATAAGAAAGCTAACTGTCCATATCTTGTTTGGTGTCTGCATGTGACATATCCGTGGGACAAACAAATCTATAAATATAAAATTCCCGGTCGGTCCCGGTGACGGCCGTTGGATCTGTCGGATCGTAAGTCACATACACTGAGAGAGGCTGAAAGACCCGCCTGCTGCTTTTCAGAACAGCTACGCCACGACTCGGCGCGGAAGGCCAAAGAAAGAGGGCCACATTTCACTATTATTTATCGCAGGACCGGCTTAAAAAACACCCGGTCTATAATAAATCCATGCTGAGTGGCGGCTCCGCGTTTAGTCTGATTGATTTATTTTGGAATGTAATGAGATTAGAGTATTGACGTCTTAGCTAGATGGAACGTTAAAAATATAGAGTCAAGTAGGTTGACCCCTGCACTTTCTACGCTGTCGTCTTAGCTAGATGAAACGTTAAAAATATAGAGTCAAGTAGGTTGACCCTGCACTTTCTACGCTGTCGTCAATTCATCAGAAAAACATTGGATATAAACATTTACGAGGGATGTCTTTTAAGATTTGCATATGGAAATAAAACAACACGGTAGGTAGTTTTAAATGACTTGATTGTTTTTCCAAGTATTCTCCACGGAGATTAATACACATCTGCATGCGCTCGAACCAATTGTCGAAACACTTATTCCACTCGTTTGCTGGCAGATCTAAAACGGCATTTTTGGATGCGTCAACTGCTTTTTGTGGTGACTGGAACCTTTGACCATGCAGTCTGTTTTTAATTTTCGGGAAAGTAAAGAAATCGTGAGGACTTAGATCGGGACTATATGGAGGATGCTCCAATAATTCCACGTTTTCTTCCGTTAAATACTGCCTTGTTTTTTGGACTGTGTGCGCCCTTGCATTTTCTTAGTGGAGGATGATTCTTCTTTCGGGGTTGATTTTTCGAAGCTCGGTGATGATACTTGCCAAACGAATGGTGGTATACCAATCCGCAGTAACAGTTCTTTGCTCCTTAAGAGGAATTTTTGGAATATGACCCGCTTTTGGCACAAAATGTCGCGACCATCTTTTTCGAAACACTTCGAGAACGGATGACTTTTGTTGGCTTTTCGTCACCTTTGAACACCCAAACCGCCGGCTGTCGTTTATTTTCTGGTTCATAACAGTAAATCCACGATTCATTACCACTAACCAATGCTGTACACATTTTTTGAGTTTCCGGAATTGAAACGGTCAAGCACTTTTGACACCAATTAACCCTGGCTTAAATCAATAAATCTTCAAAACTACTGAACTGAAGTACATTAATTTTATGTCATTATAAAGGGAATTGAAAGACCTTTAAAATAAGGTATCACTCGACCCCCCTTTCCATTTAAGATTTTAGGGTTGGTGTCACCCCCGGCCAGGGGGCTGCACGTGTTAACGTGATTCTTTGCCAAACTTGTGTCCTCCTCGAAAACAAAATGGACGGGTCTGAGAGTTTTTCCAAAAAGAAACTGAGCTGCGTCTGTTTCGTTTTCGATGCGCCACCCTGTATATTATTCATCCACACTGGAGTTATTTATATCAACAATACATGTCCTGGACGCACGTTCGCCATCAGGAGATTAAATCAGTTCTTATAAACTTGTTACAAATGAAAGCTATTCCTGAAAAAGTTTTATCAATACGTGAAGCTGTGCAGTCACTTTCGCTAGAGGAAGGCAATGACATTTTAAGTGTTCCTGTAAATCAGCGAAAAACAGTGTTTATCCAATAGATGTGTTTTTGTTAAAAAAACTTCTTTGTATATGTAAGATAATTCTATGTAACTTTTATTCGTTTGTCACTACTCACAGCTCTGCATTTTTTAAATCTGTATTTATTGTTTTAATTTCTTTCGATAGTTTCAGGATATTTCTTGTTGAATTAATACATTAATGAATAATGTCCGCAATAATGTGATAACAAAGACAACGTTTTAACATATTCATCTTTCCTTTTAGATTTAATTCATTCTTGATTATTATTTTTTTTAGTATTACTGATAAAGTAGTATCTTGTTATGTAGGCGAATGCAGTAACGAGGTTAATGTGGTTGTTACGGTGTTTGACTGAAATTGTTCAGTCATTACATGGAATGACTGAATTGCTTAGTCAAACGTTGTAATAATCAAACTATTACGGTGTTTGCCGACAATACGGGGACTGATTCAGGGGAGGGCGGATTTCAGCGTTTGACGGCGACATATACAGAAATACACGCATCATCGTTCGGTCATCCCTTGGCATTCAAAGCAGAGTGAGTTATCTGGCACGGTATATCGAATATATATCTCTACTAATTAGGTTTTATGCAGGAATCTTTGATGTATGGAATATATCTAATAGGTACCTGGGTTGAAAACGTATAACTTGCTAGCACCGGAAAATTGAGATGTACTTACTCTCCCCCACATCTTACAACCCCTAACATCCATCTCTCAACAGCTGTAATCTTTTTTTCTGAAAATTATCAGAATTTTTTTTTCATTTTTGGCCTTTCCTCCGCTGCGTCTGAAGTGATTCTAAAAAAGCACAAAGCTTTTTTGTCCTTGATATAAAATTTGTGTGGAGAGTGAGCAAAATCCTAGCGATACTTCCCAAGGTATAGACTGGCCAAGGATTAGCGGCCAGACAGACAGACGGAAATGAGCGACATTGTTTTTCGTTATCTAGATGTAATATATAAAGGCCTGTCCAGATGCTACGCTTTGCACAACCTTTTGTCTGCGCAGTCTTAGGACGAAATGAAAACATTGCAGTTTTTAGAGCGTGTGCATGATGCAGAGATATCTGTATATTTCGCTCAGTTTTGTTTGATATAGTCATGGATTTAACACGCCTAAGGTCAGCCATTGTCGTCTGACGAATTGACACTGAGAAACAAAATGAATCGGAAAACGGTGCTACATGCGCCGACTTGTCCACACAGTTCCAGGATATCTATGCTCTTTCGCTCAGTTTTTCAATCTACACGCAACGTTCTATCTGCAACGTATTGAACTGTGCAGACAAAACGTTGTGCAAAACGTAGTGTCTGAACCGGCCTTAACATTCAAACAACAAAATATGTCAATTTACAAATTACAATACTTCCACGTCAGTGGTGTAGGAAGTAAAAGTTGATCTCATTAAAAGCCAATGGACAAGACAAAATGGGGGGCGTGTTTGATCAAATTTTTATTACTACGAGGAGATAAAAAATTGTTGAAATATACTTTGCAGTGTCTGAATAAGCAACTGAGGTTCGGATAAGTACGAAATTCGCAGATATTGATTTTTTAATAGTTTCATGTTCATGTTTCGATGCAAGCAGTCAGCTACTTAGTAGATATATTTTAATCGGAATGTGTGAAATACTAATGGCGCTTATTTTTGTTTGATAGAAATGGCTCACTGCAATAATGTATATTTTTGATGTGTATACTGAAAATCAGATAAAACTTCGAACTCCGCAGCCCAACATAACCTCAAATGCAGTAGTGGCGCGCTAACCGCCCACCGTGACAAAACAAGAAAGAAATTTTAGAATAAAAAGACACCTACTTTTTGTGCAAATGCTTATTTGTATTAATAATTATATTTTCTCGTCATTTACAGCTCAGCTAAACATTTAACCTTTACAGAGTACTGCCAAGAAAGTACTCTAGATTGCCTAATCTCCAATAAATAATTTCTGTACCTCTAATGAACGCTTTTTATTCTACATCTATAAACTTCCTATGGTAATGTCAAATACAGCACTAAAACTTACACCTCAAGGTAGTATTTGGATGTTTTGTGGCAGGATTTTTTTAGTAAAAAAACTAACATTCGTCGTGCAAAAAAATAGAAAAACTGCGAATTTCAAGATAATACATAGTTCAATCGTTTTTTCAGGCGCCCGAAGGTATGTTTCCAACGTTTTGAAAAATGTTTTCCTAGATAGAAACTTGCTAAAACCCGGATTGAGCCCAAAAGAATAATAGGTTTATAAGAGACATAAAAGCCATAATTCAAACTGTTAAGTAATATCTTAAATTCTGTTTAGTGTACTTCTACATTCTTTTAAATATGACAATAAATACAAGGCTATACGAATAACGATTGCTTCTGGGTGAAAGATTTACAGAAGTTTGCTTAAATCCTCTTTCCCGAAAATACATTTTCCAAATGGATAATTGTTGTAGAACATCGAATATAAAATAAAAATCTTTTATTATCCCAGTATAAAATAAAGTATACTACTATGTCTGTGGTGGAAATGTTTGAAACGATCATGGGAACGACTCTATCACGCCTGTATCATTAAAGCCAACACGCCAATGAATAAATTATTATCAGCCGCGCATTAACGGCAATCTAGATCAGATATAAATTTAAAATATACAAAGTGTTTAACGTATCTGTGGTCATAAATAAAATTTACGATAATTGAAATAAATCATTCCATTTAAAGATTTATTGTACTTAGTTACAGTTTTCTCGTAACAACCTCTTCAAAAGTACTCTGAGCGGTTATTGACACAATGTGAGCGGCGTTATCGCATACTTGGAAGTTGCGAGCTGTTATGTCACTCCCTAAACAGGGTGTACCAGAAAATGTGGACAATATTGTACCTTACAGATCAAAAATATTGTGACAAGTCGCATTATTATATTCAAACTGAAGAGCTAACTGCTGAGAGTTCATTGCAATAAAAAATCAACCATAATAATGGATTAGGTATCTCAAATCATCTTAGATTGCATTTCATCTAGGACAGAAAGTCTTGAATAATGCGGATCTCCTTGAACTATCTCTGAACCTCGAATTTTGTTAGAGTTCTCTGGATTTCGTACACTTTTATGTCCATTTCGCCTTCAATTTGAGTTCAGTCTTTTATTACAATTAATATTAACGCATATTCTATCAGTCTGTTAATTTCACAGAGGAGAATTCGCTTCTCTAAACTCTTTAAAATAGTTTAGAGGTTGATACATAATGATAACATGCAGAAAGTTTTCTTTTGGCAATCTCTAACCGACACCCTTGAAAAAATTCCTGCAGCCACCCTAGAAATATTGGTACGTCTTTCTAAAACACCCTGTATAGGCACCATAGGACACGCGATTTTGCGGACATCTTCATGAGACAGAGGTATCTGCAAGACTCAAGTACAAATGTACACTCTCTGATAGAGAGACAGTTTCATCGGTTTCAAAATAGAAATTAACAAGAATGCTGATATTAATGAAATGATTGATAACCACACCATAGTTTCTAACAAGCGTACATTGAGACCACTTCAACTTGCGATAAAGGAAGCAATAGAAACAAAAGTATAACTGCGACGACAGCAAACAAGGTATTCAATAACATACCAGGATGTGATCCGTCAACGATATGTCGTTGTGAATAAAAGTCATAAAAGCAGTGGACCTTCTATTAAAATTCCACGATGGACATTGACGAACAGGTGTTACATTCTCGAACGTACCTCGCAGAAATTCCGCGAACGATTGAGCCCCGTTGCGCTATTTTCATAATTCCGGATTGCTGAAATGCTCGGGTTGAGGCTTGACCTCTTAGATATTAAAGTCTCTGTCGGATATATGCGTGAATCAACCCATTTGACGATTATAGAGAGACGTAAGGTCAGATGATCATTTTTTAATTCTATGTGTACTCAGTGACTAAAGAAATAGAACATCCTGTAAAAATGATCTTATTTCATTTCATTGCCTTGATAAAGTTTTCACTTTTGAAAAGCTAATAATAGACAAGTTGAAAGGTTCTAAATAACTTAAGTCTCGATGAATGAAAATGAGTCTGTACTTTTTCAAAGTAAAATTTCTTTATAGCTCCAAATCAAGAGACTGCATTTTTTATTGGAGTAAATTAATTTCACCTTTGTGCATCAGTGACATTTATTAATTTTGAGAACAAGATACAGCGTAAATGAAATTTTTTTATGTATCCGGATTTTAAAATAGATTACATGTTACATATAAAAGAAGATGCTTGGTATCTGCACTTGGATCAACTGGCGTGGCTAAATCCATCAACCATTTAAAATAATTTTTGGTCAATTTTAATGTCCCTGCGTTGAAAATTAGAAAATATGGTCGAGCTCATTATATTTAATCAGGCATTGTTAAATTTGTGTTGCTGATAACACTTCAGAACCCATTGTTCACAAACTTGTTTGTTCTGAAGAACGCCATTACTTTGGTTTTCTTGTTGTCGTTGTTTTAACAACCCACCACTGCACACTGCACGGAACACCATAGTTAAATTCTTTAAATCATTGTTTTTCAGGTGCATTTCACACATACTCATTCGAAACACACCAGCTAACTAACTAACAAAACTGATCACAACTTACGTGCTAAAGTGCCATATAAAACGTATAAAACTGAACGTTTGTCACTCGTCTAAGGGGAATTTTGTCACCGAGTGACGTCACACGGACGAAAGACAGACCGAGTGCATGCGCGTGGGTTTATATTCTCAAGCAATAGCATCGTGTTACAGTATGGTGCACATGACGTTCAAAAGAAATCTATACATCTCGTCTTACTTCGCTGCGCCTCCTGACTTGTACCTGTCCATGATTAATTCCTAAGCAAAACCAAGATCATCACAAAAAACAATGTTATACCATACCAATTTTCTCGTTCTCAGTCGACTGGATGCATAATCTTCGGTACGAGTAATGGTTTGGTGTGCCACTACATACTCTGCTAAGTCACCTCTAGCATTAGATGAAGCATGTTTCTAATAAGACCGTCCCCACCTCAATAATAGTCAAATAAACCTCCCTCCTTAAATAAAAGGAAGAGCAACCTCTTTACGTCTTCCTCCGCCAACATTAATGGCTCTTCAAAAAGAAGTACAGCTAGCTTGCGATAAGATTCATTCGAGAAAATCCTAAAAAATCGCATAAATAACTATATCAAACAGAGAAGCATATTATCAGAAAAGCAGTTTGAATTTGTTGAAGGCAAATTAACAGAAGACGCGATCAAGTATGTCACCACAAGACTGTCGAAAGCATGTACGAGCCCCTTCCCACTTGAGTTGGCCCAACTATTGAAATCTTAGTTTTTTTCTTATCAAACACAAATAATAAAAATGTAGCAGGGTGTTTAAAGGTTTAAAATATTAACAATGAAAATTTTGATAATATATAGTAGAAAACACCAACTTTATCACTCCCTAATCAAATTTGCAACATAAAAATAACACATGTTGCAATTACAGCATATCAACCTATTTTCATTTCAATGCAAAATAAGTCTATAACGCATAGGTGGCTGTGAAAAATAAAAGCTATGACAATTGTTTTTATTAATCACAGCTGTCAGAATACGTTTAAAATAGTTTTGGGTAGTTAATGTTTTCAAAATGGGTAGAGGAAAGGTTATTAGTGAGAAAATTCGGTTACTGATAATTAATTTTTTTAATTCTGGGAAATCAAACTCAGAAATTGCAACTTTGTTAGACTTATCGCGGTACAGTGTGAGATATATTGTTAGAAGATATAACGTCCTGGTTCAGTTAATATGAAGCCACGATATGTGAAAAAAAAGTAATATCATAAATGCCGACCGAAGAGCATTAAGAAGAATAATCGTGAAAAACAGGCGTGCCAATTATTTACAATTAAGTGCTCTGTGGAGTGACGCTGTTGGAAGTAGAATTTCGAGGTCCACAACTCATAGAGAAGCCCACAAACTGGGATTTAGCATTTGCAAGGTAAGTTTTCTTATAAAAAAGTGAAGTAAAAACCCTAAAGTTGCACAACTTGTTTATAGGCCAAAGAAAAGCCACTATTAACTCCACTGCAAAAGAAAAATCGGCTTAGATGGGCTAAAGAACATAGACAATGGACACTTCAACAATGGTGGGCAATAAAATGGAGTGATGAGGCCCGATTCAAAGTTTGTGTTGGTGACAGTCGCAGTAGAGTTATTCGCAAAAAAATGAAGCATTCCATGTTGACTGTCTGAAGAGAAAAGTGAAATTTCTAGCATCCATTATGGTCTGGGGCAGTATGTCATCAAAAGGAGTAGGAAAACTTCATTTTATTGATGGAAATGTGGATACAGACAAATATTTGGAAATTTTAGAAGAATCGCTTTTACCAGTGATGGAAGAATGTTTGACATCCAGCCAAGATTTTGTGTTTCAGCAAGATGGTGCAGCGTGCCATACCTCAAAAATGGCTATAAAATGGATGGAAGAAAATAATGTACCACTTTTGAAATGGGTTTCTAGCAGTGCAGATCTGTCACCTATTGAAACTTTGTGGCACGAGATGAAAAAGGTTCTACGACAACATCCTGCTCGTTCAATCACCGAACTGAGACAAAAGCTTCAACAAATATTGTTTTACACCAAATTTTTGCCAAAACTTGGTTAACACTATGCCCCAAAGAATTTCAGCCGTAATAAAAAATAAAGGTGATGTTACCAATGGTAATCTTTCAATTGTTGCTTTGTTAACTTCGCGCATTTATTCGCACATTGTTTATTTGTTCAGATGTTCTATTAGTTATAGGTCTACGTGAATTTTTATTGACTTGCCAAATGCTTTCGACACAGTTAGTCACGCTGGACTCCTAGACACCCTTCAAAACATAGGATTTAGAGATACTCCTATAGCCTTTTGGAATCTCATGTCTCTAGTAGAAGTCATACGCTAAAAATTGGGAATACTTACAGTAAAGTAGCAACGGTCGAGTACGGGCTTCCCCAGTGAAGCATGCTAGGGCCTTTACTCTTTAACATATATTTGGCAGACTTGTTCAAACAAAAAATTGAAGGAGACATCGTGATCTACGCTGATGACACTGTGGTGCTATATAGAAATGAAAGCCGGGCAGATCTAAGAAACGTAGCACAAAATGATCTTTGTAAAATCAATAAATTTTGAAAAAACTAAAATTTTATTCCTTTCACATCGTATGCCAACAAAATGCCACCTTACGATCATCTACAAATAAAAAACACTGAGGATAATAAATGTATAATAAATAAAGTAAATGGTGTAAAATATTTAGGAATTTACACGGATGCACACCTCACAAGGAATATGCATATAACGTATGTCGCGAAAAAGTTGCAATATGTTCTATATAGAATAAGAAGTATTAAAAAGACACTAGAGTATTGTCAGTTAAAAAAACTATATCATGCACTGGCAGAATCTCACATAAATTATGGTATAATAGCACGGGGAGCAGCAAATATAACTCATATATCCAAATTAGAAATAACTCAAAAAAAGTATTTTAAAGACAATATCTCATAAACCCCGACTGCATCCAACTGATCATCTCTATAAAGAAACTGGTATATTATACATAAGGCAATTATACTTACTAAAAGTTTTTATAGTGCAACACATGTCCCCTCCTTCCAACCAAGAGCCGATACATTCTTACCAAACAAGAAACAGGAATTATTTGAAGATGCTAAAACCAGAAAAAAATATAATGTTCAGATCGTACTCTTACCTAGAACCAAGATGTAACAATCTTCTTCCAGAAGACCTGAAGATGATACATTCCAAACACTCATTTAAAAGGAAAGTAAAAGGCTGGATAACATCTATGCAGCAGCGGTGGCCGCAGTAGTAGACTCTTCGGTCTCCTGATCAGTCGCCGTGTGCTGTGCGGTTTCGAATCCCGTCCCAGGAGAAATTTTTCTCTTAGCTATGGATGTTGTGATTGTCCGTAGGTGGTAGACGGTCTCTGACTGTCGAACGTGGAGGTACCACCCGGAGCCAGTATGTGTGCATGTTGCATGCACACGTGTTCCCTCGCCAGAGTCCGTGTGGCGTCCCCCCTTTCCCCTGTATCCCCCTATAGCCCCACGGTACGCCATGGGTGTTCAGGCCTTAGGCGTTCGTGGTAGTTGGAGTATAAAAAAAAAATATGCTCAGACAGAGAATTCACGAAATCGTTGACTTAAAAAGATCACAGTTAGCATGAAAACCAACCACTAGAATAAAGTTACCGCGTTAGACATAATACCCTATACCCAAAACTATCGATTTAGACAATATACCCGTGCTATACTTATTTACCGATTTTGACAACATACTCGATATATCCCCCAAACAGAGAACAGAAAACAAAAACACTAATAACCTAAGATAGACGTTGTGCCCTAAATGAGACATTTCACCTTAAAAAGAATCTACGATTAAATGAAACCATCCATACTCCCACTTTGTCAGATAATGTGTATTTTAAAATCCTATTTAATGATGTTATTGTACGTTTCTTAGAAAATCACGTGTGTATTTTTATTTCTAGATTAAGTAGTACGTAATTATTCATAAACTGATGCATACCCGCGTACAAGGCTAGCCTTCTGCAGGTTTTCTCCGATGTTTATTGTTCTAAAATATGTAATTTCTAGTTATCTGCTTATAGTTTGGACAATAAACTTAATTATTATTATTATTATTATTATTATTGAGGAGACATAAGTCATCTCATCAGAAGCTTGCCTCGATGACTGGATGAATGTCACATTATTAGCGAAATCTGGCGATACCGTAAAATGTTTTCACCTCGATCAGAATTCTATTCACGACTTCCTTTCGCATATGTGTAACTGTACATTTTTACAATTTAAATCAAATCATTTTACTAGGTGTTCTATTTTCTTTGTTATTGAGTATATTTTCCGATGGACAAATTGGGAAGGTAAGTAACTTATTACTTGCCAGTGTTGTCGCAGTGTTTAGAGAGCAATTTTGAAACAATTATGATATGTTTTATATGTTTGTGCCGCTTGACGTTGATTTCCCTCTGGCGTATAATTCTTTAGGAGGCACAAAACTCACAAGAAAATATTCTTTTATTTTCCTATTAACCCTATAGTGAGTACTCTCTAATTCGCATAAATGTTCCAAGGGCAGTGGGGGTAGTAACCGCTTATGTTGATTTGAATATTAAGTAAGAACATTTTCTTTATTTGCAGCTGTGCATAATAATTTCAAGGTTCTCTTATGGGATTTTTAGAGGAAGATTTGGAAGTAGAAAGCGCCCTGATGGTTAATTTAAGATGTTCGTATGGTACTTTAATAGTTCTGATATAGGATAGTTGTTTTAAGTCCTGCTGGGTAGGAAGCTCATAATTGACCAGCACACCTTTTTTTTCTCCTCTGTAATGCTAAGACATATATTTCGCTTTAGTCTAGTGCATCTTCAGTGACGCTGCATTTCCCATCATTCCATGCCCCCATCTCAGTTGGCGTGGGACTTGATATA